TCATGGGAAAGCTGGTTTATATTTGGTTCACATTTTACCATATGCGTATAGCTTTATTTTACTAGCCCCATGAGACCATCAAAAATGTAACATAGTTTCAGAGCTGTTTAGATTTTTGAACCAGTAATTCTCCACAATCTTGTTAGTTTTTTAATACTTGTGTGAAGTTTTGTTTTTATTAATCTAACATCGTAAGAAATCCTGGTATAAGTTGTGAGTGTGGGGATTTTGTATGTTTTGATGACTCATATTTTCCTAGAAGGGTTCTGATACATAATATGCACATAGTAAAATGTTCACTATGTGTATATAGTAAAATGTATACTATAGTGGTGTATGAGCTACAAATTTAAGTGGGATTTAAATATCCAGTTTCCCTTTATGTCTTTTCTTTAAAATACGTTTTGGCTATTTGTACACATTTTTTAACCTGTTTTTTTTTTTTTTTTTTTTTTTAGTTTGTTTTTGAGACAGTCTTACTGTCTAGTTTTAGGCTGGCCTTGAACTCACGATGTCCTCCGTCCTCAGCCTCCAGAGTGCTGGGATTACAGGTGTGTGCCAGCATGCACCAATTCGTGCATTTTTCTCTTCCACATATAGTTTAGAATTAATTTGCCAAATTCCTTTGGAATATCCTGAGATTTTGTTCAGAACCACACTATAATTTTTGGGAAATGGGAAATATAAACCTTTTTCTTTTAGGAACATGGCATTTTTGTTAGATTTTTATTTTTCTTTTTTAATTTGGTTCAGAGTTTTGTTTTTTGTTTTGTCTGTTTGATTTAGGATCTTGTTAAGTCACTAAGTTGCCCAGGCTGGGCTCAAACTTGGAATCCTCCTGCATGAGTTCCCAGAATTATAGGTGTGCACCACCACACCCAGCTTCCTTTTCATCTCTTACATGCTACAAGAAAATCTTACAGATTTTTTTTATAGAGAATTGCATATTTTTAAATTTATGTCTCTATATTTTAGTTTCTGTTGCTATTGTAAATGGATTTTTCTTCAAATTCTTGAAATTCAGTATTGCTGATAGGAAGATTGTTTAAATCAATCTTGCAGTCTTTCACTTTGCTGAGCTTTCATATTGTAATGTTTTAACTCCCTTAGAGTACATAAGTACCTAGTCATGTCATCTAAAGATTACATGTATCTCTTGCTTTGTAATATTATTCCTGTTCTTTTTCTTGTGTTTGCATGGGGTTTAAAAATTGTCAGGAAGTAATAGGCTTTATTTTTGGGTACCTGGAGTCAAAGTCAGGACCTTTCACTTGCCAGGCAAATGCTTGTGCAGCTGAGCTATATCCCCAGCCCAGTAATAGGTTTTTGTTTTTTTTCCAGTACCAGGAATCGAACTCATGACCTCATGCTTGCCAGGCAGGCACTGTGCCACTGTGCTAAATCCCCAGCCCCAAGTAATAGGTTTTTAAACCTTGAGCCATCCCTAAGTTTCTCCATAAGTGATTATGGGTTGATTGATATTATAAATTTTGATTTGCTTCTATTTCATTGAGGAATTTTTATGTATATTTATTAGTGATACTGAGCCTTCTGTTCTACTTGGATGGCTTTTGGGCCTGAGTTGGCTTGGCCTTATAAAATGAGTTGGGGAGTTTTAAGTTTGTCTATGCTCTGAAATACCATGGCCTGGATACCTCTTGAAGTTCCCAGATGCGGGGCAGGGAGAGGCAAGAGGATACAGAAATAAAGATAGGAGACAGAAAGCTGAGATCAGGTGGAGCCCTCCAGATAGGAGGAAAGGAACTGCTCAACCACCGAAGCGTGTTTATTTATACATTTGGCAGGTTCGTGTTACGTGACACCCTTTCTGTGTAGCAACCCATTGCTTGGATTGTCTCAGGGCTTAGTGTTCTCTAGACAGAAGCAGCTGGTTCATGTGGCTTGCCTCTGGAACTCCTTGTTCTCCAACAGTCCTTGTCTTGACCCACACGTGATCAGTTTCCAGCTTCAGGGGCTCCCTACACTGAAAGTTTTCACAACATGGACAATACTGCTTTCTTAAACATTTGCTAGTACTCATCCATAAATTCATTTGAGTCTGTTATCGTTGAGGGACAGGTCTCTTGATTACTTTTACTATTTATTCTACAGGGATTTAAGGATTTTTAAAAACCTATTTTTGTTTTTCTAAGAATCTAGTCACAGTATTTTATTCATCAACTCAACTTTTTTATCTTCCAGTACTTAACCTTTATTTTCAGTCTTTCTGGATTTCTAGTAAATACATGTAAAGCTATTTTTTTCCTGCACATACCAATTTGGTCAGTGTCACAGCTTTATATATATTAGAACTATCGTCGTTTGCTTTGACTTCAATTTTGACTTCCTTTTTAGCTAATTTCTGCCTTTTGGGAATTTGTTGAAATTTTCTCTGGTCGAAGATGCAGTTTTTTATTGGTAATGTTCAATATTTTGAAAACATTGTGCTGTCTCTGGGTTTGGAGGTACAAAATTTTATATCTACTCTATATTATATATATGTAATTTAAATTACACTATTAACATTATCTATATCTTACTCATGTTCTTTGCTTTACCTGTCAGATTCTGTGAAAGATAGCTTTGGACCCCTCAGTAGGATTGTTGTTGTGTCAGTTTCTCCCCATCCTACATTTGGTTTTTATACTCACAAACATTGTTTTGTGAGTATAAAAAGGTTCATGATTATTGACTCTACTTTGTGGATTGATTGATTTTTCAAATATCAAAAAAGGGTATATCTTCTATTCGTTCCATTCTAATGCCATTTTATTTTAGATTTGCCCTTTATCCTTGATACCTAGATTTTCTTCACCCAATTTGAGGTGGCTATAACCATTCATATTTTGGTGCTTATGTATGTGTACTTGTTCTTGCCATATTATTTTGTTTTGTATGTATTGTGCTTGGTACTGGTTTTCCTTTCTCCTATTTTATTGGATTTTTATTAATTTTTTGTGCATATTTTATGAATTTTTTGTACATTGTTGGGGTATGATCATAGTAAGGCACAGAAAGAGCTCTTTCCTTAGATAATGCATGTGCTTTTGCACATTTTCTTGCAATTTTTAAAAATTAAGCTTTTAATCCATTTGAAATTAGATTTTACTTATGATGTAGCAAGAGTCCATTTCTGTATTTGTCCAAAATGGATACAGCTGTACCAACATCATTTATTAAATAGTTTTTCTTTGTCACATACCAATTCTCATGTAACCTGGGATTTATATCTGGGGTCTCTTTGCAATTTAACTTATTTTCGTCTTCTAAAATAACATAGTTATTTCATTACAGGTTGTTTTTAATATTGTGTTTCAATAGCTTACAGTGAGTTCTTTATCTTTATTTAAGAATGTTTTACCTCCTTCATTACTATCTTGAAGTGAGATCTTTATAATGATTTTATGACCCTTCTATTTCAAGGTTTTGAGACTGTTTTCATACTTCTGAGAAGTCTGTCCTCCATTTAAATTTAATTTTATACTGCTTACCATTGTTTCCGTTTTTCTTATTCCATCTTGAGGTCTCTTTCTAGTTTGTTGTTTTCTTTTTGCCCTGAAAGGTGAATAATAAATTGAGTGGATAAAAGATCTTTTTCTCCTAGGGTGCATGGACTGGCTGTTCATTGCCAGTCTCACTTTTTTCCTTGTAAGTAATTCATTCTTTCTGGCTTGTTATTTATAAGATTTTCTGTTTATTCTTGGAATTCAGGGACTTTATCAAACATGCCTAGCAAGTGTGTGTGTGTGTGTGTGTGTGTGTGTGTTAGTGTGTTAATTATTCCAACCTGGAACTTAATGAGCAGACTCGTCTTTCTCTAAATCAGGTAAAATTTTCTGTTACTACCTGGTGAGTACTTTTCGCTTTTGTATTTGTTTCCTTTTCTTCTTCTAGAACTTCCATTATCTGCATTTTTTGATCTGTTCTTCAAATCTTTTCCATTTATGTATCTTTGCTTTGTACTCTGTTTCTTATACTTAGTGACCATCTCCTTTTAAAACCATCTCTTAAAATTCTGTTCCTAAGCTTTTAGAAGTTGTATATATGCTGTACTTCAATCTCCTGAAATTTCTTACTTATTTTTATTCTTTTTTTTTTTTTGTTTTATAGCATTTCTGTTTTACTGAAGACGTGTTCTGTTGATTTTAACTGTCCTCTCTCGTTCTGGGCCACGTTAAATGGTTTATTTTTTCTTTGCAACTCTTTGGGTTCTAGTCTGTTCGTTGAAATAATCCTGCATGTTAATAATCTTCTAAGCGTGAAAAGTGAAGTGTTAGTCCTTGCTAAGGTACATGAAGGTTGTCTCTGGCCTCTTGTCTCCCTGAGTTGTCTGGTATCAGTCATTTTCACGTTCGTGAAGAACTCAGCTTACCCATTTATTCAGTTCCTTCTAGGGCCTCCGAAACACAAAGTACACTTAACTTGGGGGGGCAGAATTAGCCTTCTCCCCATAGCCCACATATCCTGATAGTTGAGCTTTCCCCAGGGTCCACCACCCCTGTTGCTCAGCCCTAGTCTCCAGCACATGAAGAAAACTCCATAACAAGTTTCCTTCTTCCCGAGCCTCACGTTTACACTAGTTGCCTGTAAATCTGAGCAGCCCTTTAGCTTAAGCAAAGCTAAACACTTAGTGTTCAGTGGAGAAAGGATCTCTGTTGAAATCACACCTGCTCCAATTTTTTTCACTCTTAAATTTTTAACAAATAATTTGAATTGGTATCTCGCTCAATCAGTAGCTGTATCTTTCTCCTATAACACAAGAACCTTATATAATATCTAGCTTCTGTATTATTTTTAAAATGTAATTAACTTTGTTAAGTATTGATCCTTCATTACTTAACATTCTGTATGAAGAAGTGGAAAAAATGCCTGAAGCGTTCCCTGCCATATACGGAAGTACAGCGATTGCCTCAAAGAGAAGTTTGTGCAGTAGTTTGAGTTCTAAGCTGAACTAGTCACTTATTTCAAGAGGCCTTTTTATGAGTTGAGATTAAAGTGACACAACATAAAATTAACCATTTTAATGCAAGTAATTTACTGGTGTTTAGTACATTCACAGTGTTGTGCAAAAGCCAGTTCTACCTAGTTTCAAAATATTTCCATTAACCCCAACACAAACTTGTGCAGATTAAGCACTTGCTCTCAAACACCTGATAAACACTACTTTCTGTTATATCTCCATCGATTTTGCTTATTCTACTTCCATTTTATTTTTAATTCTTTTTTAATTGCTAAGTTTTCACTGATTTCTTTACCCTTCATGATTTAATATATACATTTTACAATTAGAATAATTTATCTTTTATCAGAATACATCCTCAAGGAACTTTCTACAGAAAGAACTTTGTAGATGATGAGCTCGGTGAACCTGTGTACTCCTGAAACGTGTATGCTTGCTTTTTTTGGAGGTAAGGTAAATTTTCTTTGGGCTTCTAAAGATAATGTTCCCTGTCCTATTACGTCCAGTATTGTGGATCATTTAGTGTCAGTCTAATGTTACTCCATTGTCAGTCCCCCTCCCTTTGGAATTTTTAAGATTACCCTTTGTCCTGAAAGTTCACCAATATGTATCTTTATTTTTTTATTTATCTTGTTCATCATTTTATAGACACTCTCAATTTGAAGATGTAAGTCTGTTTTCAGTTGAGATGTTTATTATTTCTTTGTGTATTCTTTTTGTTCTCTCCTTGTGGCACATCTTTTCTGTGGATATTAGAAGTTAGGGTCTTTCTTCCCTGTGTTTTTTGCAGTGTGTTCCAGAAGAGTTTCTTAGCTCAGTCTTCTAGCACACTGACTGATACTGTTCATGCTGCTATCCAGCCTATCTGATAAGTTCATTTGTGGTTTGATGTTTTGGTTTATTTATTGGCCTTCACAGTTTTTATTTATAAGTTGTTTTGTTATTCTTAAGAACTTCGTTTGTTTGTTTTTGAGACAGGGTCTAACTTGGTAGTGCAGGTTGCTCTTGAACTCACTAAATTGTCCAGGTTGGCCTGGAATTCACAGCGATTCTTCTGCCTATCCCTCTCAAGTGCTGGGAAAGGTGTGTGCCACCACACTTAGCAAGAACTTGTTTTGTTTGATGAATATGATTTCTACTTGGGCCTCTAGAGAGTTAGTTAAGATTAACTCTGTTGAGCTCAATGCCATTCTTTAATGGTATTGGTTTTTCTCAAATATTTAATGGTTTGTGGTTAGCTTGGGAGGGGGTTCTGTTTTAGTTAGTTTTTGGGGGGAGTTGTTTTGTAGTACTAGATACTGAACCCAAAGCCTTTGCACTGAGCTACATACCAAACCCTTTTTGAAAATCATTATTTTTTTATTTTGAAACAGTTTGACTGAAGTACTCAGGCTGGGCTCACACTCGCAGTCCTCTTGTCTCAACCACACCAAGCTTCAGTTCTTGCTTGTTTGCTCATCTTAGGTTTTAGATTCCTTATTAGCTTTTCTATAAATGTTCTGTTAATTCTTCTTGTTTCTCGTGATTGTGGTGAAAGTGTACAATACACCAATTTTAAGTCTTCTAGAAAAAACTTTCCTCTCTTGTTTGGAGAGGAATGCCATACCTCTGCGATGTTTGAACTAAATCACCCCAGCCTCCAGAGCCCTTCCCACCTTTGTAAACAGTCTTGCCACATAGCTGGGTTAAAGTTTTCTCTTTCAGGAAGAGTACAGTTGCTGTTTGTTTGATTTGAGGAGTTATTCATAGTTTCTAAATTACTAAAACACACTTTTCTTTCTGAACACTGTTACAGATTTTTCAGGTTTTTTTAATGTCAGCTTTTAGGGCAAATGTATTTTTTTCATGCAGCACTGTATTTTTTTTTTCAATGCAGCACTGTATTTTTTTCTTTACTGATAGAGCAGTTCATATCAGTTGGAGTGATAAATTATTTCCCTAAAAGCTATGAAGTCATGTTAATTCATGACACAGAGCAGTTATTCTCCAAAGCAGTGGTTTTTAGCTGCCTCAAGTCCTCTTTTTAAAATCCTGAATATAACTTAATGTCATTCCTACAGTATCAGAGCAGTGTGTTCTTCCTACTATATTTCATACAGATGCATAGAAATAGATTTTTTTTAAAGTATTTTTAAAGAAGTTACTCTAAAGCATAGGGTAGGTAGTTAAAATGAGTAAATTTTTTACCCTGTAATTTAAGTTTACCATTCCCTCCACCCTTCATTGTTTTAAGAGGTGACATATTTTGCTATCATTTCTCTTTATTTCTATTTGCTTAAATTGACCAAATACCAATTTGATATACCTGTTATGGTGCCACGTCAAAACCAAGGCTTTTCACTATTAAGATGAAATATGATTTCCCCAGTTCTTGCAGTTATTTTATATAATATATTTAAGCCCTTTGGGAGGTTCATGGATTGCTTAGTTTCTTAAACTTCTTCCAGAAGCCCAGTACAGAAAACATTTTTAAGGCTATTCACTGAGAAGATAGAAGAAATTTATATTGTCTTACACATAACTTTAAAGATCTATGCTATTAGATATCTTCTGACACAACAGGTAAATGCCCTTCTAAGACTAAATATTACAAGGCTGTTGAACTGATGATTGAAAACTCGTATAACATACTCTGCTGTGTGGTTTGGGGCCCAAACAGTTTAAAAGGAAATTGCTTCCCTGCACAGTGACTGGTAAAGCCAAAGGGCTTCCAGAGAAAAGAAAAGTCAACCTGTTTATTCTTGTTACAAAGGCTATTTTGCTCTGTTAAAGTCTTCAACTTTGAACCTTATGCTTTCAGACTGTTCCACTCACCACTCCTTGCTGCAATTATCTTAACAGTTCTCTACTATGTCAAAGCCTTGAGCATATTTTTTTTGTTGTTACAGCATACCCTTTTACAGCATACTCTTGTCCTAAATCTTGAGGATTTCATCATCCATGAGCAGGTAACATTAAAGCAAATTGCCAAAGTAGCTGAGGCAATTAGCTATCTACTAATCTTGAGGAAAAGTATAAAGTTAGCTCAGAGAAGGACAGGTGGAAAAACTAAAGCACAAGTGTGTTTGGTAAGCTGAAGGAACAGCAGGAAATCCATTATGGCTAAAGAAAAGGGGAAAAGTAGGAAATGAAATACTGTAGACCTAGTCATATAGGACCTCTGTATCATTGTTAGGAATGTAAAATCACATCATCGTAGAGTCTTAACCTTCTTGGTTTTTTTTGTTTTTTGTTTTTTGTTTTTCTCCAGTACCGGGAACCGAACTCACGACCTTGCGCTTGCCAGGCAGGCGCTTTTGCCGCTGAGCTAAATCCCCAGCCCCTAGTCTTAACCTTCTGTCACCCTTGGCCTGTTACTGTAATGATAGTGTTGTAAACTTGATCTCTATCCATAACTGCAGCCCACCTTTTTTTCTGTTTCAGTATTTCTTCTCTAAACTGCTACTACCTGTCCTTTTATTCTTTCTTGTCCCTTGACTCCAGTAATTCTTAGCTCCTCTACAGCCTGTGAGCTAGTGGTCTAACTGCCTTTTCAGTAACTCTCATCTACTCCTTCCCAGGTTTGTGCTTTCTCTTTTACCCATATTGTATTCATCAGGCCTTCATCAGGATTACTCTTGTAATGACCCATCCCTGTCCTCTGACTGTGTGCTGTTTTGACAAGATCCTAACTCAAATTAAACCAACTTGTCACACTTAAAATGTTTTTTCCTTCTGTCTTAACTTCTTTTAGCCCCCTCTAACCTCTCCAGCTGTCACCTATTTGTCTTTTAAAGCCAAACTTGCCCAGGGATAATAATCATGATAAAAAGATAACACTGGTAATAATAGGTAATAGTTATTAAGTACTTGCTGTGTGCCAATCACTGTTCCAGATATTTTACACATGAATCTTAACTTTATTTTCATAGCAATCCAGTGAAATAGAAAACAACATAGTTGACAATGAGAAAAGTAAGACGTGAAGATCAACTTCCTCAACAGCTGGTAAAAAGGGAAACTGGACTTCAAATCCGGGCAGTCTAGCGTCAGATCCCATGCTCTTAACTATAATGGCCGCAGAGTATATTCAAAATATGAGTTCTGCAGAGTAACATGTTCCAGTTTCCAAGAGTGAGTACGCCAAGCCATAATCTTTATTCCTCCCTAGAAGTAGCACTAATGAGTTCTGGCTGTTGGGCTATGTGTTATAAAAGGGAAGTTTTCATTCTACCAGAGGGTTAAAAACGATCACTTCTATGCTCAGGGCTCTGTCTTACAATATTTTGATCTCAGCACTTTTTTGTTTCTTTGTGCTTTGCATTTAGTTGGCTGTACCTTTGGTTGAAGCATAAATTCTGTCTCCTATCCCTATTGCTTAGCAGGCCAAACAGGAACCAAAGTGAGTCCCAGGAAAAGCAGACTCTTCACTCTGAATTGAAAGCCAGAAAAAAAGAATCCCTGAATCAGATTGGTAGTAAACAAGACTTGTCTAAATTGTCCCTTTTGCCATTTACAGTTGGTATGTTGGAACTAGTAATGGCATTATTTGCTAGATTAAAAATAATCAAGAACCTGGGGCTGGGGATTTAGCTCAGTGATAGAATGCTTGTCTAGCAAGTGGGAGGCCCTGGGTTCAGTCCTCAGCACCAAAAAACTAAAAAATAATCACAAACCTTTTCTTTCTTAAGCAAGATTTAAAAACAAAAAAAACTCTACTAATGGCGTACTTTTATTTTATTTTATTTTATTTTATTTTTTTGGTACTAGGAATTGAACTCATGACCTGAGGCTTACCAGGCAAGCACTTATTCCACTGAGCTACATCCTGGGTCCTAATGGCATAATTTTAAAACCTTTCAATTGGAATTATTTACTTTAGACTCTAATCTGATACTTCCCTAGAGAACTTCATAAAGAATTGGTCATAATCCATTCTTTCCGTTTGTTTTTTGAGATAGGTTCTCACTGTGTTGAGCAGGCTAACGTTGTACTTGCAATCCTGCTGCCTCAGCCTCGCGAGTAGTTGATTACAGGCACGCAGCTGTGTCCACCTTGTACTTCTTTCTTATATTTGTCTTACATTGTTTGTCACTTTCATCTTTTGGAACAGGGAAAATTCATTTAATCATTTAATATGGATATTTATTATTCTTGACCTAGAAAATTTTTAGTGATAAGCTCTCAAAAGCGGTTAAGATTTTAAGAGCAAGAAAATTCAGAATCATTTTAGCTGAACCCTATTGTCATGGTAAACATGGCAGACTGCTCCTTCCTAATTCATCTCTGGCCAGAGGAAAGAAGTATTATGATTGTCTTATCTCTTTCCTGTGTGGAACATGTGGTGAAGTAAGTCAGCATGCCCAGAGGGAGGTGATAGTGTTTGTTCTTTATTGCTTTTGATTGTTTAGTTACTTTTCATTCTTCAGTTATTTTCATGTCAGAGATTATTTAAAATTTTCAATGTAGAAACCTGACAATTTTTTCAGGCCTGTTGTCACTCTTCCCTCACCCACGTGCATCCTATTAATAAAATTTCAACAGTTTCACAAGTTGAATGTAGTTAAGATAAATGTGGGTAAAAGAAAGTAAAACTGTACCAGCAATGAAAAGTCCAATCCAGAAAGCTGATGTTAACATAAAATCACTTAAAAAGGAATAAAAAAGAAACTTAGAGTAGAAGGAAACTACAGCCATTTTCAAAGTGGTACTTTCACTCTGGAGATTTTATTTATTGGAAAATATAAAGCTGAAAATATTTTTGCTAAACTGGCCTAAACTTAGTGAATAAACTATTGCTCTTTTAGGAGTAATAGCTCTTTATGATTCTAAAGAAAACATCGGGGCTGGGGATTTAGCTCAGCAGCACAGTGCCTGCCTGGCAAGCGCAAGGTTGTGAGTTCTATTCCCGGTACCGGAGAAAAACCAATAAATAAATAAATAAATAAATAAATAAATAAATAAAACCTCTCTCTCTTTGGTTCTAAAGAAAATAAATAACTTTGTTGGTACAGATTTAGCTTAAGAGTTTTCAATCCTACAGTCTGTGCTTTTAGGTTAGTTGATCTCTTAGTAAAAATCTGCCACAGAACCTTAGCCTAGTCACTTTTTGTAAATACTAGTGATTTAAGGAGTAACATTATCAAGTCTTGTGAAGACCAAGATTATAATCAGCACAAAGTACAAGTAAGCAGCTTCAGAAATACAGGTGTTATGTACTAAGGAACTGCAGAGAACATGACAAGAGGTTCAGTAAACTAGGCATATAGAAGAATCTTTCTGAAAGTGGACATTCAAAGACTACTAGCATGAAGGGGTGTGAGGACAGAGACTTGCTTCTGAGCAATTTCAGATTCAACCAGGTGGATATGCTTGAAGAGCCAGCCAGGAGCGGAAAAGGCAACTTTGCTTCTTTATGGACTAGTGCCATACAAGAGGGACTATTCCAAAAAGCATTTGTTAAAACTGATACAGGAAGAGAGCAGGCTTCTGTTTGAGAATAATTTTATTTGCCATTGTCGTGGATTCTCACACAGCTACTTTCTCTGATATGACAGCCCTGGAAGAAACATCCAAATGATAGAACTGTAATTGGTTTTCTTTTACTGAGTTAAATACAAAAGAAAACAAATACGTCTCCCACCGTAGCCAGTTGGTGATGGTGGTGGGGATGATGGTGTCAGTGACCGTGATGAAGGCAAATTTGAAGTCGGGTTATTGGAAGGAAGCTAAAAGTAACAGAAAAATACTAAGCTAGGTATCATAACTTGATTTCTAGACTTGTGTTGTTGCCTGCTTCGTCTTCACACAAAACTGAATTCATATTGATTTTAGTTTTCCTAACATTAGAAATGGGACTACATACCTTCTTGTCCTTCCACTGTAAAATTGGGTCATTACAACAGAAAGTGGCCACACTTAACACTAGTAAAATTGGCCTGAACAGTATCAAGAATATTAAAAACAAAGGCAAGGTATTTTGTTAATTAAATTCATGCTTAGTTGCATTTGGTTTATGTAACAATGAACTTTTTGGAAACTACATCTGGAAAGGATACAGAGTTCATTTTGGCAAAAAAGAGCTGGTAGCACATCATGTGACCACATGGAGGCTAGCAATTAGACATAAAAGCCAGATAAAACCATAAGAAGAACCATAAATAAAAGAGTCTTAATGTGATTTAAATACCGTGACTGAGTTGCATGCAGTGTCAGCCTGGTCACCATGTCCAATGTGACGTCATCCTCTATAGAGATGTATTCTAGCAAAAGAGTTCTATATCCACCATCTGGCTCCTGATTCAAGGAGCACGTCTCACTAAATGACACATAGCCCAGTGGGATACGCTAAATTTGCTTAAACATGAGCACATCATCATCTCATAACAACGACTAAATATCACCCTAATTTTGTATTCTGTAAACTTTGTTGTGGAAATTGGTAAGGCAACTGTCTTTTTGGGTAGACCTATAAACAGTGATCTTATTTCCTATATCCAAGATACAATTACAAAAAATAATTTCCGTTCTCTCCTCACAGCCTTCTGGAAAGAGTATGCTAAATGAACACTTCACAAATTACTTATGCTTTGACTTGTTGGTTTAATACCTTAAGCTGTGATTTTAGACATGTTTCAGAATAAAGGCAGTTACCTCTACTCTTTAATCTCTGAGATAGAATCTGCTGGGTTTCTTTTAGTCTGTATTTTGAAACTATTTCACAGTTGTGATTGCCTAAATGAAAAGTGTTCCTTTAGCACTTGATATCCCTCAGATTGCTAAATATTTTATTGGCTGTTGGAAGGGAAGGAGACTGTGTCTTCTGTTATTTAAATAGCACCCCAAATCTGCAGATCTCTAGTTAATCCTAAGCAGCTTGTCAGTGGTCTGTGAGGTTCATTCTGACAAATGCTAAAGAAGGAACATTAAATGAAATATAGGGAGAAATGAAAGTAAACATGTTTCTTCAAATTGTACAAAATATCACCCTTTATTGGAACCAAATAAAAAATGATTCAAGAACTGAGCTGAAATTAGCAAAAGGAAATATAAACATCCTTAGCAGACTCAAAAAGGAAAATAGTCATAAATGAGAGGTAAAAAGTTCCAAAATTTAATGTAAACTTCATCAGAAGCCAAAGTGGAGGTGGACTGTGTGACTAATAAGGTAAGAAAAATACAAAACTCTGGGGTAAGGCTGTTTAACCTTCTTCAGAGCTATAGGCGTTGATCTTATTCAGTGTTTCAAGAATTGACCCAAATTTGTGGTATCAAATGATACTGAAGGTTGATGAGGTGAGCGAATGCTGCAAGAAAGCTTCATAATGTTTTCTAATATCTACTCTCTTGGACTTCCTAGCCTGGAAAACCAATGAAGTTGGCCTGGGGGAGGGGAGATTCGTAAACTCATTTAAAAGAGTAGTCATCTGAATAATAGCAGTTTAAACATTTTTAAAGAATAAAGTCTCAGCCAGTCTTCACAATGGGCTATAAACTCTTGCCTTGAATGTAAGATCCACCCAAATATGAATAAAGGGCCTTTATGTGGAAGATCATAACCAGCTGTTCTTTATCTTCTCTGAGTTCAAACAATAAGAAATGGACATAAATTTCAGTGTGAGAGATTTGGGCAAAAATGAGAATATTGTCAATTGAAGTAGGTTACAGTGTGAATCTTATTCTGTAAAAGACTTAGAAAGTTAAAAAAAAAAAAAAGTCGCTGCTACACCTCAAAACATTTACTGTGGTATCTTTGACATGGGTAACACTCTAGGAAGAGATGTGATGAGTTGCACAAGGATTAGAAAGTCTCTGACTTGAGTAATTAGTACAAATGCTGAATGACAAGATTGAAGAAAAAATACCTAATCATGAAAAATGAGACAGGTGTATAGCAGCATAATGACAGGATTTAGTGAATTAAATTCTTAGGAAACTGCATTTTGATAGCAAGGGAGGCCTCATTTTTAGCTTTGTCAGCTGACACAATTTTGAATTGCGTCTCATTCTCATTGGCATCTGTGATCTGTATACAGTTTCCAGAATATCTTTCCTGGGGAAGATTTTTAAGCAAACATATGGCATCAGTGGAAAACCTTCTTATCAGACTGACTATGCTTTTTGTAGAACACCCTTTGACTTTCACAATTTCAAGCTGTCTTAGAGACTTTGAGAGCCCTAGAGCATTAGACTAATACCAGCTATACAGAATTACATTCAGGGCTTGAATCCTGGCTAACTGGGATCTGTATTAACTAACTGGATTAATTGTATGTGTAGTTTAGATTGAACTGTTCCTGCTGGTGTAGGTCCAGGGAGAAATTAGTGATATTTTTAGACTTCATTCAAACAACCTATGAAAAACCACTCTTATACCTTAAAAATTACTAATTCAGTATCAGTAAGAACATCCAACAAATTTTATGGCCAGGGATTTAATTCAGTGGCACAGGGCCTGCCTGGCAAGCGTGAGGTCATGAGTTCAATTCCTGGTACCAAAAAAAGAAAAATTTTAGTCCTGTGCAGCAATGTGCTAATGTTTAACATCTGATTTTTCAGCTAAGAACAAGCTACCAAAATGACCTCACTGAAGCCAGGGTTGGGAAGATTTGTGCACAGTAGCTTCTCATTGCTCCAGTACACTGGTGGTCCTGTGTTAGGTATATACAGAATACCAAAGTTGGGAAGCATCATTGACTACAGACAGCCAGCACTGTCATTTCCAAGCAGAACTCCCACCTTGTGATAAACTATAAAAGCAAACAAACTCATGGCTTTTCTGAGAGACATGCTTTTTAAATCCTAAAGACTTCTTTATTTAGCAGATGAGTCCTTTGTGTTGTTCTCTGCAGAAATATTACCCAGGCCTTTATATGTTCTGATTGGGGAGAGTGAAACCAGTCAATAGAAATGATTCTTAGGAGCAGGAAGTACAACCCGTTTGGGAGCTTGAGGCAGGAGGATCACTTGAGCCCACAAGTTCAAGGCCAGCCTGGGCAACACAGACCATCTCACAAAAAGAAAAATTTTAAAAAGCCTTGGGAGCATGATTTAGTTTGGATTTGAATATTTGAGTGTTTTAAAAGACTGATAACACAAAGCACTACCTAACATTGGATAAAAACTCAGACTAGACATTTAGCCACTTCTGGAATATTTATTTGCTTACTTTTGAAAATACTAGGACTGTTATATTAACATGTCAGTTTATTGCCCACCTCTTATCTTCATTCTTAGACTTGCACATATCTGCAGCTCTAGGAAACCTTACTCTTAAATATTGGACTTACTATTGGAAAAAAAAATGACATTCCCAATACCAGAATGCCCAAATGGCTTGCATTGCTAGCTATAAATCATCTTGTGTAAGAACTGCAATTTCCAGTTACTGTCACATTTACTTATGAATTCTTACTTTCTGTTTTTTTTTAAAAAAGACAAAACTATTCAGCAATTACAAAAACTTCCCCTGAACCAGAGGGGAGAAAACAATAGATTCTTAGACATATTCATTCCCATAACAATATGGCTAATATTCCTACCAGGCTACTCACAATATTCATCGTAATACATTGCCAGATTTGCTCACTGCTCTTAACAACAACCCTAAAAGACAGATGCCATTTTACAGATAAGGACAGAGCAGAAGAGCTAAAGTCATACGTATAATGTCAAGTTGACTCATTGGATTTTTAATTTAAATCTTCTGACTTCTAAATATATATGATGTTCCCATTACACAGTGGTGAAAACTTACAACAGAATCTCCTTGTCCAGCCTCAAATGCTCTACCAATAATTAGTATTATTTAATAGGTAGATGATAGGTGCAATGTGACCTAATTCTTTTTAATTCCTGTGCATTAACACTGTTATTCTGCATTGCTATCCTCTTCTACCCTACAGCTGAGGAGTCCACAGTTAGATTCATTGCCTGGTTCTGGCTTGGTTGAGATGAGCCACTGACAACATGACCATGTAGAAGGTAGGAAGGAGCAAAAGGAGGGAATGATATATAAACCAATATGCTGAGATCACAAACTGCAGCTGCCCAAGGTGTGGGTGTGTGGAGGGGTTAATGTATACAAGGGACCTCCTAGTCATTTGCCTTATCTTTTCATTTTATTCTCCTCTAACATAAAGGGGTGGGGGTGGGGTAGAAAATGAGTCGTAAATGATGCATAGCCCTTCAAGAAGGCTTCCTGTAGATCTTACAGTCCACACTATAGTACTAGAAAACACTGAAATTACTTTGAATTTCCAGAGTTATACTTTCCATACAAGGAATTACTGAGGAAATCGTTGCTTCACTAATGAGGGCTCCTGGTGTAAATTAGGGCTACTAAAACTTCAAAGGTAGCAGGGAGTAAAGAAATGACTGTCCCTGGTGGCAAGGGGTATATTGAAAACTTAGATGTTCTTCTGAGGCTTCTCCCCTCTGCATCTTCAGCAGGTACTGTAAGGAAGTAAAAGGAGCTGTATTGAGGAATCAAATCATATCACACACAAGGAGTTGACTTACTGGAGGTTTTCCAAGGCAAACAGTTTCCCCCAAATTGTGGAATGCATGGTCAAGCCTGGGTCACTGCTAGGGTATGCAGTCAATAGGTGTTTTCCAAACACCAATGGTAAAGCCAAATCTGAATTCACAGTTTGGTTTCTCGTATGTCAAAGTTATAAATGAAAGACAGAGTAAGGCACAGTTGTGTGTACAACCACCAGATGGCACTATGGATGGACTGAAAGCTTTTAGATTGTCTGGAAGGTGATACTAGTTTGTCATCTTGGTTTATATGGTATACTTTCTTAACAACTCAGCGGTCAATAGTGAAGATAGCCTTTTTACATTTCAAAAGTGGTGTGAGCTGGTGACATTTCTAAATCTGCTAGAACCAAGGTATGTATCAACTATTTCCAGGAGAGAGAGAAGTAATCATTAAGCTACCATAAGGTGAGGAAGGGAAAGGAGTGGGTAGATCTTAGTAAAATATTAAGTTGGGAAAGACCAGGAAAATAGTATCAGAACGTTAGTAGAAATAGAGAAGTAAATTGGGTATTTTCACCAAATAATCGTGTTATTTGGAAAGAGCATTAGTTATTAGGACAGAGCATTAGTTCCTATTCACAACAGAACTAGGTGGGACCATATGAAATTATTTACATTTAGCTATCTTTGATCTACAAAATTGGTCATGGAATGTGGTTCAACTTAGTAAAACTAGAAACTACTGGGAACATGGTAAATCTGTAAAAGGTATAAAAAGCATGCTGAATTATTCCTTGGCTTACTAGTAGTAAAATGATAGAAAAACAGTCCAAAACAAGTTTTTAAAGTCAACATAGTCAACTCATTTACCTAAAATACTTACAGATCTTTAATCCAAAGTATTCTCTCTATTCCCAAGGATTATTTGAGAAAACAGGGTTTTGAAAAGAAAATCTACTTAAGCAAGTACTCCCTATTAAAATAAATTTAATACTAAGCAGTGTTGCCTATTTTTAAGACCCTGGAGACAGCTAACTAGAAGAGATCAAGTAGAGTCTCACGTTGGTGAATGTGTCATTCTTTCTGCAGCAGTGGTGTAAAACTTCCTTGGCTGTGGAGTCTCCCACACACAGTGTCACCCTGACCCATCATAGAATCCATAGTCCTCTTCCACCCTGCAGCTGAGGAGTCCACAGGTATCTATGAATAAGCCTGTGGCAGCCTCACGATACCCCACTGCTGGGCACAAGTGAACTCGGAGAAGGCTACTGGCATGATACTTCTGCCAGTGTCCATCCATGGTTTCTGGGTCATCTGAGACAAGCTTTCTGTTTGCTAGCAGATCTTAAAGGCCATAGAAAGTAATAAAAGTAGTAATTTTTGGCTGTGCCCTCTGGAGGAGAATGAAGTTGGTGTTTGAAAGGAATGTTGAATAAAACTGTCCCATTTTCTGTACATATTAAACTTAAGTGTAGGGGCTAGTGATGTAGCTCAGTGGTAGAATATGTGCTTAGCATGTGTGAAGCCCTGATTCAATTCCCAGCACAAAGAGAATAAAAAGTTTAAGAAGAATTAGCTAATATAGAGGGGGAAGCAAAAACTGCATCGTTACAGCACTTTTCTGGGGTAAAAAACGAGCGAAATGTCAATTTTCCCCCAAATTATAAGAAAGTACTATGGAGATAAACCAGTTCTTCACATAGTTTTGATAAATTAGTATTTAGAAGATAATTTACAGGTTACAGACTCTTTTCATACATAGCCATTTTCATAGTGTTCTAAGGCATAAGTGTCATTTTTTTATTTTAACAATAAGAAACTGAGGTTCCTATAGGTTTAGTGAATTTTCCAGGGTCATAATTAGTGAGTCCCTGAAAACAATTTTCAAATATAGGTTTTGCTGAAGTTTTGCATGGTAAAAAGTAAATATCTGTGCTTTGGCATCATACATATGTGGTTTTGGTGCCTGGTACTATTTGTTATTGTGCTACTTTATTTCTTAAAATTCCCTCTCAAATGAATCTCACTGACTTTTCAGTTTCATCAGCAGCAGAATGGCAGTGTCTGCCCTTATAAAGTCAACACTGGATACACACAGAAAGATTAAAATGGCAGAGTACAGGCCAGCAGCAAAGTACAGCCTCTCTGGGACCTGGAATTGAGACATCTGCAAAGCAGCAACTTAGGAAAAAGAAAAAAAATAGCACTTCAGGAATCAAGTAAGAGCCAACAGGACAGCTAGAAACCACAAAGAAGCTAGAGAAACTGAGGACAAAACAGAGAAAAGAACTAACCAGTTTGGAAAGCTAACTCTGGCTCCTGGGAAGGTAAGCACAAACACAAGCCTAGAGAGGGTCAGCAGCCCCTAGTAGAAACAATAGATCACAAAAGCCCATAGTCACCATAAGCCTCAAATGCAGCTATTAACAAGTAACTCCTGTTACCCAGTTTTGGGGTATTGGAGGCTCCTTCTAGAGGTGGTTTCTAGGTTCTTTCTGTCCTGCACAAAGAGTTGGTCAAGAAAAGTGCAAAGCCAGTGCCATCATGTACAGTTTTTAGTGTGGGCTGAGTCTGAAAGTGCTGCCATGAAGTCCAGCAGACTGCTTGGCCCTCCTTGCCCCCTACTTATAGCACAGAGTTAGTGTTCTGTTTGCTTTCCCTGTCTGCCAACATGATAGGGATATCCTCTGGCCTGGACAGTTGTCAAATTCTGGGGTATACGGACAGAGGGACCTCTGTAGTATGGAATATACTTCATGAGCCCACAGGCCACTTGGGGTGCACAGAAGGGCACAAACACTAAGAGCTGCTGGAGTGAACAGAGCTGTAAAGCAGACATTATACCTAGTGGGAAAGACAGGGAGATCTCAGCAATCACAGCCGAAAGCAGATGTGGAAATGAAACAGGCTCTAGTTATGACTTACTATCCCACCCCTAAACCTACTGGGTTCCAATAAAACACTCTGGAAAGACATCATTCAGCCAAAGGCAAAGAGGAAAATTGGGACTCATTTCTCTTTTTATTTTGGGTTCTTTTTTTCACTTTTGTTCTTTGTTTTGTCTCTTTTTCTTATATTTCTTTTTCTTTTTCTCTTTTTCTATTACTTTTACCTAATTCTATTTTTATTGTTTTTTTTTTATCTCACTTTTTTTCCTCATCTTCCTTTCTTTTGCATATCTTTTCATTTTTCTCTTCTCCATTTTTATTATTACTGTGAAGCTTTATTCTTCGCTGTTGAGTTGGCTGTATGATACTGTTGAATTCTTTTTTATTCTTAATGGAATCATTGCTTTGATAGATTTTGATATATGACAGTAGTCTTTGTGTCTACATTATTATTGCAAATCTCTTTTTGATTGTTAAGGATGGTATAGTTGTAACCTTTATTAGTTATTATGCTATGTGAGTATCCAGTTTATCTTTGACTCTATTATTATTGCTGATTTCTTTCTAATTACTAGTGTTGGCATAGTTGCTTTTTTTTTTTTTTTAACTATATGTCAATAGCTGGTTTGTCTGTGGTATTACCATTACTGCAGTTTGTTTTCTGCCCTCCGAGTGGTGCTATGGATCAAACCCTGAGAAAAGGCTGGCTACTAACAAGACTCAAATATTACTCTGAATAGATTGAAGAGGGTTTTAAACATCATAACATGTCCAAACCTGAGGACATATCACAGGAAGACAGAATCTAAAGAGATCTTCATGGTAGCAGTTTCTCTACCCTAAAAGATCTGCAACGTAGGGTGCAAAAAAATAAATAAAAACATGAGAAAGTAAGGCAACAAGATACCTCTCAAAAATCAAAACCAAAAAAACTCAAAAGCCAAATAATTAAATGTTTGAAGAGATGAAAGAAGAAACATACAGATATTCCTCATTTAACAACTTACCTGTTTAATGACTATTTGGATTTAAGACCCACCACTTGGATTTATGATCCATCTTTTTTTGTACATCTTTATAGAGCCTCAATGTCTTTTTTGCTATACAGTACACTTTGCTTATACAGTCTTATAATTTTTGCTGATTTACTGTATAGTACAGTACTATAGTTTTATGTTCTGTTATACATTACAGTACTACATGGGAGAGTTACTCAAATAAAAGCAAAGTCATCAAGTTGGAGTTTCCTTTGACCATTTCTTTGTTCTGCAAATTGTAATGTATACACTATATACAATTCATTTAGAAACCAGTTCATTTAACAACCCTACTTGTAGGAATGGAACTCAATCATTTAACAAGGAATGTCTGAATAAGCAAATGCATAAGATGTTTAATAAGCTCAGAGGATTTAATTGAACACGTACAGGATTTTACCAATAAAATGTTGGAGCAGTTTAAAGAAGAGACAAAAAATAAAGTAACTGAGCTCAAGAAGATAAAGCACGACGATGAAAGACATGAAGATTCAAACTGGTAGTATTTCTTCTGATATAGTTTTCTTAAAAACCTTGTCAATTTCTTATGACTCGTATTGACATTCAATTCATTAAACAAAAACAGCATTCACAAATTTTGTCAAGTTAAGCTAGTCTCCATCTTCCTTTCCTGTAAGGCTGCTATGTGACAATGACCATAAATAAGATCCTTAAGTTTAATGGAGAAGATCTTTAAGTCATTCTTTGAAATACTTACAAGAACTATTATTTTAAAATACAAGAACTATTGTTTGTTTGAAGCACTATCTTAAATCTTTCTGAGGACTTATCAAAAGTCTTAAGTTAGCTGAGTGATGGCACATACCTAAAATTCCAGCTACTTAGGAAACTGAGGTACAAGGATCACAAGTTCAAGACAAAGCTTAGTGAGATTTTGTCTCAAAAAAATAAAAAAGGATAGGGGTGTAACTCAGTGAAAGAGGGCTTCTGGCTTCAGTCCTTATAAAATAAATCTGTCTATCTATCTCTCATCTATCTAGTATATTTGGATAAATTTTTTTCTACTGCAGTATTGTAGATTTGAACTCTGCCTGAAGCCATTTTTAAATTTTAGTAAAATTTACCATCTGGAAAAGGTGAAAATGAAAAACAGTTTTTTTTCTCATGCCAGCAAGCTTTGTTAATCTTTGTTTAACAGTCATTCGTTAGCAGCTTGCTTTTGCACTTAACTGTAAGCAACAAAAAGACCCAAACAGCTTGAACGGTTTGGAAATCATCTTAGCTAGAATATTCAGTTAATTTTGTAAATTTTCTAGTTTTCATGTTAGTAGAAGCAACAGTGAAGCTAACATTTCATTATTATATATCAAGGTTCTCCTCTCCAATTTTCAGAAGCACATTTTTCACTTTCCATTAATCTTTTACCAATGACCTCTTTGAGAGGCATCAGGTTTCCATCAAGAGCATCTTTGAGAACATTTGGCTTTTATTCATTCTCCCAGTGAGGACCTTCCAACTTTCACTTAAGGCTGCTACCTTTAATTCAGATTTGTGGTCACAGCAGCACACACCTTTCAGATAACTGACTCTATTCCAATTACCTATTGCTGTGTGAAAAACAATTCCAAACATTAATAATTTAAAACAATAACACTGATTTTAGTCATGAATTGCAATTGGAGCAGGCCTCAGTGAGGCAATAATCATCCTGCCTCCACTGAGCAAAGGCTGCTCAATGGCAGGGGACTAGAATCCAGTGAAGACTCACTCACTTCTATGACTGGTAGGAATACTGAGTGCCATCTTGGACTTTAGCTAGACTATTGGCTTGAGCACTATCACATAGCCTTTCCATTATACTGGGCATTCTTCCAAAATGGTGACTGTCATCATTTATAGCTTGTACCAATGATAACTACCTCAGAGTGAGCAAGGTGGAAAATTGTATCACCTTTTTCTGACCTAGCCTTGGAGGACATTCGGAGTTACTTCTGCTATCATCAACTCATTAAAAGAGATTCACTAAAAAATTACGTCAGTGAAAATGGCAGGATAAGAAACTCAAATCCCCCTAGAACAGTGTAAAAACTAGTAAAAATTCTGAATCAACTTTTTCAGAACTGTATAAATAAACCAAACATTTGTAGCAACCTTAGCATTGCCTTTTCTAGAAAAACAGCTGAATCTTGTCAATAACAATGAGTTTGGTGGCATTTTAGTATACCCTGGTCCCATCCCTGCTGCTCAGTCGTACTCTTGAACAGCTTACCCTCGAGGTACCTAAAAGAGAAGAATGGGCTGCCTTCACAAAGATGTGTCACTAATTGATCTGTCTGGTGGTTCCTTGGAGTACTTGGTGGAAAAACTTCTTACTAACTTGACTCAGAATTCATTCAGTATTAAAGCTGCTACACATCTATCATCTCTGACTGTCCATAAGGCTCTGCACAAGCCGAAAATGAAGGATAAAGCAGAATTATAAACTACTGTGGTGCTTTGGCTCTTGAACTTAATTTGTTCCACGGTTCTGGGGAAGATGGCTGCAGTGGCAAACCTGGTGCAGAGTTCCCAAATGGAAGCAAACTTTTGCTGATTGCTTTTGTTTGCAAATCGAATTGTTCACAAACAGAAACGTTCATGAACCCAACTATTACTGTACCTGATTGAGTGCTTAAGGTGTGCCTCAACACAAATACACACCCCCTCAGCAAAGACAGGTATGTTTTGGTTCCAAGAATTTAGGATATCTCGATGCAGTTATTAGTGGACCACTAAACTAATCAATGAAAGACTACAGCTACCTCACACAGTAGGTAGTATAGCTTCTGAAAAGCCACTGAATAAACAAACTACTGGTGTAGTCAACAACTCTACACAAAGAGAAAAAATTTGACTCCCTGATTTGCTACATTATGTTATACATATTTCCCAGTTTTCAATAACAAAATTACAAAGCATGTAAAGAAACAAGAAAGAATAACCCATGTTCAGGAAAACTCATTAACAGAACATGTCCAGATTTTGGACTTTCTGGATAAAAATTTCAAACCAGCTATATTCAATATGTTCAGAGGTGACCACGTCTGAAGAGCTAAAAAAAAGCATGAGAACGATGTCTTAAAAATAAATTATCAATGAAGTTGAAGGAAATTAAAAGTAAACAAGTAGAGGGGCTGGGGATTTAGCTCACCGGCACAGTGCCTGCCTGGCAAGCACAAGGTTGTGAGTTCGATTTCTGGTACTGGAAAAAAAACAAAAAACAAAACAAAACAAAAAAAAGTAAACAAGTAGAAATCCCAAAGTTAAAAAGTACAGTATAATACCTGAAATGGAAAATTTACTAGAAGGACTCAACAATAGATTTGAGCTAGTAGAAGAAAGAATTAGTATATGAATATCTTAATACATATAAGAGAAGCACTTGACACAATCCAATATCTTTTCATGATAAAACATTTAACAAGCTAGGAATAGAAGGGAACTTCATCAAAATGTAAGGGCATCTATGAATTGCCCACAGCTAACATCATATTTAAAGGTAAAACACTGAACACTTTCACCTTAAGATTAGGAACAAGTCAAGATCATCCAATCTCACCACTTCTGTTCAACAGGAGGTTCAAGTCAAGGAAATAGTGAAGAAAAAGAAATAAAGATAGCCAGTTTGGAAAGAAAAAGTTAAATGGTCTTTACCTGCAGATAACGTAATTTTATATAAAGAGAAAACCCTCAGAAATTTACAAAAATGTTATTAGAGTTAACAATAAGTTCTGCAAAGTTGCAGGGTACAAGATAAATATATAAAAATCGGTTGCATTTCTATACACTGACAATGAAGAATCCAAAAGTAAAATTGAGAAAACAATTCTGTATACAGTAGTGTCAATAAACATAAAATATTAATTAATACATTTACCCAAAGAAGTGCAAGATTTATACATTGAAAACTACAAACCACTGTTGAAACAAAATAAAGAAGTCCCAAATAAATGGAAAGATATGGATTAAAAAACAATATTGCTTACGTGGAAGTATTCCTCAAATTGATCTACAACTTCCATGCACTTCTGTATGAAAATTCCAATGACTTTTTCAGAAATGGAAAGCCTAGTCCTAAAATTCATATTGAAATTCAGGAAACCT